CTGCCACTTAACATTGAGCTGTACTATGCTCTATTTTTTATTTTTTTTCTCCAGTTTTATTTTTATGCTTAGGCTAACTGCCTAAAAAATCCGGGTTGCAAACCTGTCTTCACTTTCAAGTAGGTAAAGATTTTGACAAGGAATGATGTCTTTCTACAGTGTGACCATATGTCCTCATTTTCCCAGATATGTCTTGGCTAGGATTTCTATATTGCCTAAAGTATCCATGTTTTGAGTCTGACTCCAAGTCCAAAATTGAATACCCCAACCCTAACGGTGCCACACAGCACATTTTCAATATAGATTCCTGCTGAATATACACCAGAGTCTCTGGTGTTCACTCTTTTTTCATGTAAACGGGATTAGATTGGATCTGTCCCATCCACGGTTACTTTATTACAAGAGTACCCTGGTGAACCAGGGACAATAATTTTAAAGGTCACATATTTGACACCTTTCTGCAGTTTTATTTTAAGTCTCGTCTCCTCCATTATGACGTAAAACATAAAAACAAAAATGAGCAATTCAGGCTCCACCTGTCCTGTCAGGATGACAGCTCTCTTCTCGCACTGTTGCTATGCGACAGAGCGGTAATCGGGATCCCCTGGTGGCGCAATTAGGAAATCCTGCGAAGGCGGAGCGTCCTTCATGCACTTCGGAGGCGTGGCCTTCGAAGTGTGCGCACTTAACTTTGGGACACAGCTACGTAAGGTCAATAGAAACACCAGTAATGATGGTCACTGCTGAGGGAATACCTTTTGAGCGCAAAGAAAACAAAAATAACAATTTATTCAACAATTCTTCTCCCCCGAGTTACGTCTTCCGCCATTTTGGAGAGTACCCAAGAGTGTAATCGACGTAATCAGCGTTGTTTACGCTTAGGGGAAAGCGTGCGTATGCATTGTGATACGCTCTAAAATGGCGGAAGACCATAACTTGGAGGAGGAGAATTGTTGAATAAATTATGCTTCTAGAGAGCCGCAGTCCTGCAGAGTTCAGCTCCAACCCTAATCAAACACACCTAAACAAGCTAATCAATGTCTTCAGCATTACTAATGATTCAGGCAGGTACGTTTTCTTTAAGGGGTGGAGCTAAACTCTGCAGGGCTGCGTTCCAGTCCATTTTTTTATGCCCTTCACTTGCAAACTTCCCTCCGTCTCATTTATTCGGATGTACGTCATTGATTATGTCTTGGAGGAGGAGAATTGTTGAATAAATTATGCTTTGCGCTCAAAGTATTCTCGTAGCTTTGCAAAACTGAAGTTGAGCCACTAATGTCACATGGACTGTTGTAACGATCTCCTTGCTACGTTTCTGGACATGGGAACATTACAGTTGCGTTGCTGTCTATGGGAGGCACAGAGAGCGCTCACATTTCATCCAAAATATCTTAATTTGAGTTCCGAAGATGAACGAAGGTCTTAATTTTTTTTTAATGCCCTTCACTTGCATACTTCCCTCCGTCTCCTTTACTCGGATGTACGTCATTGATTACGTTGCATAAGTGCCCACTTCTGGCGGAACCCTTGCAATGGGCTGAACTGGAACATCCTAAGCCCTTCATCACTTAGAATCCACTATGGAGTTGGTTTATTGTTTACATTTTTTCCCTTATGAATTTGTTTGGTGCAGCATTCTATATGTATATAGGTATGCTTGGGCTGTTATAAAAGTAAATGTAAAAGTTTGCGGTGGGGATAAATTAATGTGAGTAATTAATGACAGAATTTTCATTTTTGGGTGAACTAACCCTTTAAGCAAAGCGAGCAAATTCAACCCCATCTAATCATATTCGTTCTAGGTAGGTGAACATGATCTTGAACCTTAAGAAACTTTCATTAATGCTGTCACGCAACAAATCTGTTTCAAAGATAAAATAAAATGAATTGCTAATTACTACATTAAAATAAAAATGTAAAGCCTGTACAAATATCGTGAATACAAATAATTACGATGTAAAAAATTTAAATAATATAAAAACAGTGCACATTTTATCTATTATAACATTTATGTAGTTTTGTTCGCTTGGCTGTTTCCTTATAAAAGTCTAGAAATTTGTAAATATTTTCGTCAGGTGTCTTTTGACGTTGCTGTCTTGCCGTCCACTTCACGAAGTGGAACGCACTTCAAAATGGCAGCGGGGATTCCCCCGAGGGGAAGTGCTTAGGGAAGTGTGTGTCTAAAAGTGGAGTGGAACGCAGCCCAGGATCAAAGTTAACTATCCCTGCTATACTCTAATGCTGGGTTCACACTGCACAATTTTCGCCCCGATTTTCACTCTCTGCCGGTGGCATCAGATAAACGGTGCAAACGCCAGGGCTCCAGACTGCGACTAAATGGTCGCATTTTGTGACCATTTCTTTTGCCTGTGCGACTACATTTTGTGAGCGGTCACACTGGTGCGAACACCGCGTTGTTCAACTCATAAGCGCTGCCAATTCTGTTGCATATGAGAAACATCAAACGGCAAACGAAGCTTAAAGCATAATGAAACCGCGCTACATAGGCGCGGGAAGTGGGGGTGCTGACGTAGTGTTTGTTATGAAAGATGTGATCTGGGAGAAGCGTCAATGCATCGCCAATGCCTGTGAGATATTTGGCATGCTAAATATCTGGACCTGTTGGCAACTCACAGCCCTGCAGTGTTAAATGTTTTTTGACTGGAAATTACACCGGTGACGACCAACAGCCAATAAGAGAGCAAGATACAGGACAAAGGAAATGTTGGGGGTGAGGTCATATATTTGCATCAAAACATCAGCACATATGGCGTCTGCAAGGAACCATTCTCTCCTTCATATTCTTCTTCTTTCTTATAAGCGCTGCCAATTCTGTTGCATATGAGAAACATCAAACGGCAAACGAAGCTTAAAGCATAATGAAACCGCGCTACATAGGCGCGGGAAGTGGGGGTGCTGAGGGTGCTGCAGCACCCCGTTTTTTTCTGTGGGCAACTGTTTACTGTTGGGAATAAAAAAAATATGTATATTATTATATACTGTATATTTATAATGGAATATTTGGGATTTAACTATGAAAAGAGATTTGATTATGTTTGAGTTTTGAGTTATTAAAATCAAATCAAGATGTGTATTAACCAATCAGATCTGTTGTTGCCTATTACAATGCGTAACTTTAAGGTTACCTTGAGGGGACGTAATTTCAGTTAGACACACGAAGCGCAGTGTGAATTTGAGCATGTCGCAAAAGAGAATTTCTGAGTTTTTCAAAAACCCTACAAATATTAAAGTTTCAAGGATAAGCGTGGATGATTCAACTACCAACAACTCCGTGTCCAGCTCCACCACCGGCGGCCAAGTGTTTTGAATGAAGTGTGAATAATTGTGTAACTTAAGAGAAAATTGTTATAATAAAGATACATTTAAACATTTCTATGTTTGCTCCGATGTTTATAATATGTACCGTATTGGCCCGAATATAAGACGACCCCCCTTTTTCCAGATGTACCTTTTGGAAAAAGGCTTTTTAAAAACCAAATCTTGTTTTTTCTCAGTAAAACACATTTTGTCTTCAATTATTTTCATATTGCATATTTTTCCTATTTTAATTTTTGTTTTGAAAGTATGGTAAAAACTGGTAAACTGTACCAACAATCACATTTAAAAAATATACACTTTTTGATATACCATTAAAGAAAAAAAAAACAGGTCTGAATTAGGAATTAACCCATCTGAATTAGGACATTTAGCTATCCATCTAATAGTAGCCTACCAAAATCGTATTAACAGTAGAAGTTAAATCTTACTGTAGTCTTCAAATCTGGGTACTGTCTTTACGTTTTAAAATCACAAAGGGAGTTTGGTCACGATCTTTACAACACGCATTACGTATTTCATGGCACACTCGTTTTATGTGTATTTGGCGCCACCTATTGTTGTGGGTGTATTATTGACATGTCAAAGTCTAGACCCCGAATATAAGACGACCGCGTTTTTTCAGATGTATTTCCAAGAAAAAAAACATTGTCTTATATTCGGGTCAATACGGTAGTTTACGTTGGCTATTTTTCTATCTATTTCTATCTACTCTTCGAAATATTTAACCTTTGCCCATTAATTTAACAGTTGTAAGAATTAAAGTTATCAAAGTTATTAAACTGATGCATACTTGATGCACGCAGCACTGCCTATGCTTGCTTTTATGTTTGTGAATGTTATGTTTGTGTTGTGGGATCTGTAGGTTGTGGCTAGGTGAGATGCGTCTTAAAAGTGGAACATGGAAATCTCATGGGTGTACTGAAAAAACGTTTTATATTTTTTATTTGTTTAAACGCTTAGGCTAATGTATTTCCCGTGTGTGGGCTATGCAGTGTTCTCAGCGATTTAGTTATTTTTTTGTTGTTGATCTCAGCGATATGCTTGTTGTGTTTCCCAGAGTTTTGACGTGTTTTATATACTCTGTATTGTTTCCTAATGGTTTCTTAATAAAATTATCTTACTCGTTTTTGTTAATAAACGTTTTTTTTAAGCTAGTTTGTCATTCTATCGTACTCTTTTATTGTTGTTGTGCTTCTAATGAAGAATAACAATGAATCCATCTTTTGTTTTAGTCTTAAAATGCGAAAGGTGTGTAGATGCATGTAAGCAAAACAGACAATTATTTTTTGTGTGACACAATTTATCTTTTAAAATGTGACAATATTGTGAATTCAAAAGTGAAAGTAAATGAAGCCCCGCTTATAACATAACATAAAAAAGGAACGCCCGTTCACAAAATTAAAATCACAAATAATACTACTGATGAAAAAGAACGGGTTGAATGTTAACCACTTTTCTTTCCATATAACTATAAACTATGATAAAAGTTCATCAGCATGCATTGATTAATCCCATTTTGTAGCGCAAAAAAAAAAAATTATTGTGACCAAATCATGTGCTCGTGCGACCAACTGAGAAAGTTAGTTGCAAAAGAGCGACAAGTGGGAAGAATTAGTCTGGAGCCCTGAACGGGCCCCTGGTCTTCTGTAATAATAATAATAATAATAATGTTATTACATGATTCCTGTCTGAGAAACTCCTTCCACACTGATGACATAAAACAGTTCTCTCAAATTAATCCTCATGTATTGATCAAGTTTGTGTTTAACAAATGCAGTGTAATCTTCTCATGTGCCTTTTAAGGTTTCCTTTTTGAGTAAAACTTTTTCCACACTGTTGGCAGGTGAAGGGACTCTCTCCAATGTGAACTCCAATGTGGGCTTTAAGGCTTTCATGTAGATCGAAACTCTCTCCACACTGAGGGCATGTATAAAGGTTTTCTCTTGTGTGAATTGTCATGTGCCTGTTAAGAGTTCCTTTTCGATTGAAACTTTTTCCACACTGATGGCACACGTAATGCTTTTCTCCAGTGTGAATTCTCATGTGTTTGTTGAGGCTTCCTTTTCGGCTGAAACTTTTTCCACACTGATGACACATTTTATGCTTTTCTCCAGTGTGAATTCTCGTGTGTCTATTAAGGAATCCTTTATGAATGAAGCTCATTCCACACAGTTGGCAGATAAAAGGACTCTCTCCAGTGTGAATTTTCATGTGCACTTTAAGGTTTCCCTGATTATAGAAACTCTTTCCACACTGAAGACAGGAATATGGTTTCTCTCCAGTGTGAATTCTCATGTGCACTTTAAGGCTTCCATTATGATCGAAACTCTTTCCACACTCAGGGCAGGTGTAAGGCTTGTCTCCAGGGTGAATTTTCATGTGCCTGTAAAGGTTTCCTTCATGAGAGAAACTGACTCCACACTGTTTGCAGGTGTAAGGCTTGTCTCCAGTGTGAATTCTCATGTGCACTTTAAGGCTTTCATTATGATCGAAACACTTTCCACACTCAGGGCAGGTGTAAGGCTTGTCTCCAGTGTGAACTCTCGTGTGCCTGTTAAGGTTTACTTTTTGAGTAAATCTTTTTCCACACTGTTGGCAGGTGTAAGGCTTGTCTCCAGTGTGAACTCTCATGTGCCTGTTAAGGTTTACTTTTTGAGTAAATCTTTTTCCACACTGTTGGCAGGAGAATGTCTTCCCTCCAGTGTGAACTCTCATGTGGACTTTAAGGTTTCCATGTTCATCAAAACTCTTTTCACAGTGAAAAGGGGTGAAATAACTTTCAGTTCCTGTTTTATGAGCGGTTTTCTGTGAGAAAGTCTCTTTAATCTGTGGCCAACTGAAAGATTCTGCTCCGGTTTTAAAATCATGATGAGTCTCATATTGTTCTTTCTCTTCCGTTTCATTCGGTACTATGCGCTCCTCTTTCAGCGGCATGAGGTCTATGGTGAAAAAAGACAAATGAAAGTTAGCCCAGTTTAATAGCACAAAGAAACAGACATCAAAACATTATTATAAAACGGATAGTTCCGGTCCTTGATTCTGATTGGTCGAGCCTTGTTCGAAGCTGTTGTAAATTACTCTACAAACATACACCTTTGTGTTGCTCGACAACCGTTTCTGAGGAACTACATTGTTTGGCGGAAGAATAATGTTTTTATTAATATTTAATTTGTCAATTAACATTTTAGTTGTCGTTTTATTTTGTGAAACTGCTACATATATGGAATAACCGTTTTATAAAAGCAATAAGCGGACCTTTGTGTTGCTCGACAACCGTTTCTGAGGAACTACATTGTTTGGCGGAAGAATAATGTTTTTATTAATATTTCATTTGTCAATTAACATTTTAGTTGTCTTGTTTTATTTTGTGAAACTCTGCTACATATATGGAATAACCGTTTTATAAAAGCAATAAGCGTCTTATTACTTTAACCAACATGTATGCTAGATAGTATTTGCACTAATCTAATTGAAGGAGGTGATGCATATAATTTTAGAAACTCTTTATCAATATTGTAAACTATTTTTCTTTGTTTAGGACACCTCCAAAAAACGTTCATGCTCACAGTTATTAAACCCTTTATCAAAAACAAGCACAGTTTGGCCCAGGACAAATCTACCATTTGTCTAAAATATCAGGACAAAAAGGTATCTAATGAACTATGCCCAGTTTTGCAGAGAAATTCACATTTAAGGATTTAAGCCCCATCATAATACATCAACTGTGCTTATTAAACGTACAAATGAACTACTTTTGACATCTGATTATGGCTACATACTTTAGTGATGTTAGATTAGTGGTGTAGTCACATCCATATGCAGAGCATATGGCTGTTTGTGTATAAAGACAATCAATAATTGGTATATCGTTGGGATACCCACTTGTTTCTTGCTTCAGAACTGTATAATCTCTCCTTCTGTTGGCTTCCTCTTTAACTGTATTCTTTGGAATAACTGAAAAAAAGTTTATGCTAATAATGCTTTCCGCATTGATCTCTGAAAAGTAGCTGAAGCATTATTCATCCTGAAAACCATAACCATATGCTTTAGGAAGTTATCCGGCGTAACAAATGTGGCGAAGTCTGAGGCACACCAGTGGCACTGGTGACCCTTAAAACAAGTCTACTTTCGTTACACCAAAAAAGACAGCAACACAATCAATACAACACTTCATCCTAGATAACGGGAAAGAGTTCGGATTGATGACACTTTTCACCTTTCAGTAATCTGTACAGAACCTGCACGATCTGGATTCAGCACCAGAGTATATGGTCAGATCCATGGATTTGAATTGGGCACCACGAGTCCATGCGTTGACAGGTAATCTACCTCATTCTTTATCGCTTCCCTCTTTCAGGTATTAACACGGTACAGATGCTGTTTGATGGGTGACATGTCTATAACGTCAATATAGGAACTGCGGTCTGGGTAGGAGAAGTCCTGAATAATTAAAACAACAACTCTATACCTTTTTAATATTTCAGAAGTATAAAGTTTAACACGCCCATGAGCCGATTGCGCTTTTCAAATTCTAAACATCCACGTGAGAGACACGCGCATGTAAACGCCCACATCGCCTCCTCGTAAACAAGTTCAATCTGGCTACTTTTTGTTTCTGGAAGAAGACGCGCTGAGAGGAGTAACCCAGAATTTACCTCAGAAGAGGAAGAACACAACGCGATGCATCACGCAGCTGGATCCAGTGGAGGATATCACTCTAATGAGTAGCCTAAGATCACTTGCATCTGTTGTTATTGTGATATAACTTGTTCACATTTTACTAGTTAGACTTTTCCAAAACTATAATTCCTGACTACTTGTATGAAATCAAGTGAAATATGAAATGAAATGACACATATTTCAAAATGTCTCACAATGCCAGGATGTGTTTAATGTTTTATAAAAAACTATATTCTACCACATCCAGTTATCAAAAGTCTTGTGAACAAATATTCTGTATGTGTTTCATGACCTTATTTCAGTGACTTAAAAACATTTCGTTTTTCACTAACCACGCATAAACATGGTTCTCTCAAAAACACAAACATGTACTTTCATGCTGCTCACATATTATTGTAGCCCAGTTTGTGCTAATTACAGTGTTATCAGACTTTAGCCATTCATATTTTTTTAAGACACTGAAAAAAAACACAAAGGTCAGGGCATGCCAAAACTTCTTCAGGGCCCCAAAACACCCTTAGACCCCAGAGGGTTAATATTTACCATACAAATAAGAATATTGTTTATCAGAATTATGCACATAAAAAAGAAAAAGAATCCATTATATTTTTCATTTTATAAATGTCCATTGTAATTTCCATCCATGGATAGGATCTCCTGTGACAACCATTTCCTAGCAATTTGGTCTTATTTTCAGTAAACAGTTATCACCTTTCCTCCATCCTTTCCACATTTACACATTTCTTGCAGAGCACTGTGCATCTTTCTAAATCTTTAATAGCTGGATGGTTTCAGAAAATGTTAATGATTTGCATTTTGATTCCCACAATTTCTCTGGCAAACAGCAACATAATGGTGCACTTCCATTGAAATTGCCAGATTATTTTCTATTCTTCCTCAGATATAGTTATCCCTCATTAATTCTACTATCAATAGCCGAGTTATGTCCTTTTCTAAACAAATCTACATGCTTGGCTCTGTCATATTTTTCAACTTGAATCTAGCATCTGACCTATTTGGCATAAAATCTGAGTCATATGCACACCGCTTGAGAAGCACTATATTTCCGTATAATTTATATTATGATAGTTTTCCATACTTTAAAAGTACAATTTGCCAATGGGTTATCAAAAGCATTTATATGATTTTATAAGTTACTATCACCTAGGACAGCCTGTATGGCAGTGGAGGATATTTCCTCTTCAGGTGTTTTTCCACTGGACTTCACAAATTGGATTACATAAGTATCATAGAGAAGGTAAGCAGCATCCCCCCTTTTCTTTAGCTAATTGCAATGTTTTGAGACAAACCCTAAGTCTTTTACCTTGCCTGATATACCTTGACAACATCTTTTCCCATTCATTAAATTGCTTTTATTTGATCGCTATTGGTAGGGTCTGAAAGGGGTGGTGGATTGTGATTTCACTTTTTTAACGTTAGTTAGTGTGTAATGTTGCTGTTTGAGCATAAACAATATCTGCAAAGTTACAATGCTGAAAGTTCAATGCAAACAGAGATAATTGTCTTTTAAAATTACGGCAGTTTAATGCCCACAATTACAGCTGATAGGGACTACAATGAGTTACTTCCCGGGTTTGTGACATCACAAACCCTGATAAACCCCGCCCCCGGGAACATGCAACAAAGGGGCGAGGCCATGTTGCACTGCTTTAGAGAAGAGGAAAAAACTTGCCGTCAAAACTAGGGGTGCACGAAAAAAATCAATTCATATATGAATCACAATTCTGTTCTAACGATTCTAATGGATTACGTAAAAATCTATTCATATATGAATCGTGATTCTGTCTTCTAACGATTCTAATGGATTCACAAGTTTGAAAATCAATGTTCTAAAGCAGCGGTTCTTAATCCTGTTTCTCGCGTCCTCTGCATCACTCTCTCTCGGATTCAGCTCCATCAGTGAACTGTGTTCCAGTTATACAGTGCCATGAAAAGGTTTTTGATTTTTTAATTTTTTGCATATTTGTCAAACTTAAAAGATCCAGATCATCAAACAAATTTGAATATTAGACAAAGATAACCTGAGTAAATACAAAATGCAGTTTTGAAATAATTATTTCATTTATTAAGGGAAAAAAGCTCTCCAAACCTGCCTGGCATTACGTGAAAAAGTAATTGCCCCCTAAATCTAATAACTGGTTGGGTCACCCTTTGCATCAACAACTGCAATCAAGCATTTGCGATAATTGGCAATGAGTCTTTCACATCTCTGTGGAGTAATTTTGGCCCACGCTTCTTTGCACAATTGTTTTAATTCAGCCACAATGGAGGGTTTTCGAGCATGAAAGGACTGTTTAAGGTGCCGCAGCATCTCAATCGGATTTAAGGTCAGGACTTTGACTTGGCCACTCCAAGGTGACAAACATCCAAAGAAATAAGAAATCAGGAAGGGGGCCAACACTTTTTCACACCACTGTATATATGCACATGCGTGTGTGTATGATGAAACATACATTAATTATAGATAGATACATATATGAAGACCAACCAGAGTGTGATTTTTGAATACGTGTGCTTTTTTTTTCTTCTTATATTTAGAATAAATTTTAGTACAAAAGTTTTAGTGAATTATAATTTGTTTGTGAAAACGTTCTTAAGTAGGTTTCATGCACAAATTTGTGAGAATTTGTGTTTCTGCTTCTGTTTTTAAAGGGGACATCGGATGCAAATTTCACTTTTACATGGGGCTTGCATAAAATGTGTCTTCGCAGTGTGTGGACAAAACTACCCAGATAAAAATCCATTCACTACTTTTTTTAATCACCCCAAAAAATTAATAAGTTGAAAAACGACAAAGTACCCATTGTTCGTTATGCCCGGTTCAGACTACATGATTTTAGTCCGATTTTGCTTGACGTAGGGTGTCGTGGGGATTCATAAACGACAATGGGGAGTCGGGACACAAGATTTAATCGTTTCAGCTCGTGTGGTGTGTCATAGTGGACGACAACCGATTCCACGTCTGCGATGCTTCACGACAGAAAGAGTAGCATGTTTAATTTTTTTTCCATCGTCCTCGATGAGTTCTGTCACGTTGGTGACGTTGACCAATAGCAGCACAGAAGCTCTTTCATACACAGGTTTCAAACATAGCAAAACGAAAGAGAGATGATGGTGCTGCTAGGTGGAATTATGAGATGGAGGAAAGGTTCGTGGAGCTGTGGCAACAGTACTCCTGCCTGTATAATGTGTCATCCAGGGACTACCACGACAGATCAAAGAAAGAAAAATGCTGGCG